TTATGGGGATGTGAAAGTAGAGAATGGCAATCTTTCAATAAACCAAAGACAAATAATCAAACAAAAAATTAAATAAAGACATATAATTTCTTACCTTATCATTAGATTTGGTTCAGGTTCGTTCTTGTAGGAGCCATATTTAATGTCTTGCTATTTCTTAGGTACCTTTAATTATTGTCGCATCAATCCAAGATGGCGGCCTCTGTCAAGTCCTGCATACTCTTCGCTTGCCTTGGGCTRCCTGTGTTTTTAGGCTCCAAGCCCTGCCTCGGAAGCAGGGGTATCGGTTCTGCATACTAGGGAGCGACGAGTTTTGACTAAATGAGAGTTCAGCCATGAATTTCCTCATAATATACGACGTAATTTCCTGTTTCTCTAACTTGAATTTTAAAAATACACACTGAACAGTGATATTAAAGTCAACTTTAAAACAATATTTTTATTACAGTTTTTATTTCATATATATTTTAAGATGGACGTTTGCATGGCTCAACAAAATAACGCTATTTGCAATGAGAGTTCTGTGAAGTTTGCATAGACCAAAAGCCTAAAAYAAAATATGAAGTTATGATAAAACAGAATAGCAAGTCCTTTCTACCATGATATATTTACACCAAACTTTGTTTTGAAAGATGTTATATACATTAAGTGTTAACTCGTTACAACATTGTATTGTCATCAAAAAAGAAAAGAAAAAAAAAAAAAAGGAAAAGATAAAGTGGTCTAGGATTTATACAATGCAATATAAGCTTGAGAGAGTAGAAATGAACAGATTTACTATGATATTAAATCAGTCTTGTTCAATAGGGTTTCTTTTACTATAAAATACTGGGAGAAGTGAATATTCTGTCCATGTAGTATCTTAAAAGAGTACTATCAGATTACTGTTAGAATTAGGGAGCACCAATGATGTCAAACCAGTCTTGCTCAACAGGCTTCTTTAACCAAATACCCAGACCATTCACTTCAAATGCTTTAACCATCGAATTCTTGGCTGCCTGGTATTCCTGGGCAGCTACTTTTGCATCATAATAAGTGACAGGAGGCTTCCWGGTAGGGTTAATCTTACTCCACAGTGCACAGAATCGAGCATACATTGCTTGCTTGCATAACCTAGAAGRCTGTAATGCCTCACTTAGCTTCCCTGTCAAGGTATTGATGTTTTCAAGGCCTTGGTCTCCTATCGTCCAGTTAAGGCTGTTCTTTGGGGCTTTTCCAGGTAATCTTGCCTCTGGAAAGGAAACTCCACTCATCTTAGGTTGGTGCTGCCTGTACGACTTTGGTAAACAGTCAACGCATCCAAGGCGAAGAAACATTGCCCTGGACATATGGTCATACCTAGTAAAACAATATATCCAATTGTTCATGGACCTTGATAAATCGTATTTGGATTAAGTGAAAATACACTTGAAGGCAAGAGCTTTCTTTGCAATGTTTTTTTATACAAATCCTAATGATACCATAATGAAATACTGCATGAATAAGCAGAGTCACGATGGTAATACTTAATACTGTATATATTCATGACAAATTTAATTCTTTTAGCACTATGAATGTTAGTACTAAACCTGTGCTTAGCAACTGTTTATCAATAATATTTTATAATGACATCATATCTACAAACATGTAATGTGTAGTAGATTCTCACGCACTTTTATTGTAAAACTATTGATGACATAATTCATTCAGAAACAGGTTGTAATATTTATACAAAAATTATCAGAAAACATACCTGTACAGACTTCCCAGGGTTATTGAAGACAAATACACAGGTTCCATGAAGTTACTAAGCAGTGCTCCTTGCAAACCAAGTATGTTCCATTTGCTGATTTTATCACTGCAAGACATAGTACGGAGCTTTTCTGTGCCTAGTACTCCATCCCAAGTTTGGATGGAAGTAGCAGAATTTGCTACTGGGATAGTACCTAAAAGGAAGATGCTTCACTTCAATACATGTGTTGAACATACACTTATTTCAATAAAGTTAGTCAACAAAAAGCTACAAAGCTAAGACCGACAAGGATTATGGGTGGATACATTTTACATGTTTCAACCACTTGATAACTGTTCATGGACTTGAGATCTTCTACCAGTTACAAGTTAACCTCCTCTGAGCATCCTCAACTGCTGCAGTTTGTGTCAAAAGCTTTACTTGTTGGATATAAAACATTTTCTCATGATTCTCAACGATCACAGCTTTCTAGGTTTTTGGTGACTAACTTTATTGAAATAAGTATATAAAAATAACAACAATGATAAACATCCTTTACAATAGGTGAAAGCTGGTTTTCATTTGGGTGCACATTCACTTTCACAAGCTACCACTACAAGCTACGAAGGATCTTATCCCCAATAATGAAACTTAGTGGACCTATAAACCAGTTTAGCCAAGTCCTAATGTTTTCCCATTACAGATATGTGTCATACCCAAGAGGATCAATAACACTTGAGAAATTACATTACCGTGTGACTACTATAACCAAGGCCACCTAGACAGCAAGAACCTATCAAATTGTAGAATGAATACTATCCATTCTAATTTTGGCTAGTGAAGTAAATCAGAAACTAGCAGAAAACAATAGTTTATAGCCTTTCAACATATCCTTTTATTCCTATGAGAAAATGACAATGGCTATCTAGTCGTTTACATGTAACATCAGGGTCAAATGGTACCGGTCAAATTACCATTCTTGTACAGGCTGAGTTTATGATTGGCTTGACATTGATTTGATAGGATAGTTTTCAAATTTAAATCTATAGCATTTGATTGGTTCTTGATGTCTAGGTTGCACTGGTTGTAGTATTTGCACTTTAATATGGATAAGACTCTAACAAAGGATTTTATCATGATTCAAATGTCATGTTCTGGTATGGTGAAATTGTTAACAATAAGGTTAAATATAAGTGGAAGATGAATGGTCTTATGACCTAAGATGGCCCTCACATCCTTCCTAGATTCTCAATTTTCCTTTCTCTGCAAAAATGAACTGTTTCAAATTCCAGTTGATTTCAGATTCATTAGTGGAAGAGCAACTAAGTGTTACCCTCATAAAGCAAGACTCAGCTATTTGAACCATGTYGCTCATAAAAATAATATATGCTCCGTAACCATGAAATAAGACCATTTTTCAATTTAAACAAAAAAAAAGATGTACTGTATAAAACCACATAAAAGCAATAATACATACCTTCACCATTTTCGATTTTGACTCTCAACAACCCTCTCTTCTTCCTTCCAGAATGATTATCAATCTCATCAGGTGCTCCTTCGTGAGGTGAGAAAACCCTTGCATCCCCACATGGTGACGTACTGATATACAAATGAAAATCTGTTCCACTTTTTATGCCAAAAAGTCCCGATGGCTTTTTTTCYAATATTGAAGAATCTGCTTCTCCTCTTGCATAAGCTTCAAGCTGGGAATACAAAAATCTCCTCAAGCCTCGTCTTGCAATGATCTCCCCATGGCAGTCATTGACGGCATAACCTTTTTCACTGATGTATTCGCCACCTATAAATTTGGTTCCTGTTCCCAGGCTTATCACTTGATATTCKAATTCTTCATTATCTTTCATAGTTGTCATGACAATTCCCGCTAGGACTTTACGCCGAAATCCTTGGTCTCCAAGCAACCAAGTTAATTCTGTAAATTTATCTAAGGTGAGCTGTGCAATGTGATCGGCGATATGTTGGGGTAGCTGACTCTGTGGTGGTGGGGCTGTTGCCATGGTTTCTACTGATTGATCGACAGAAGGTAATGCACCTGATTGTCGACCAGATATCCCATATATATCTGAAAGTGCTTTTGATGCTGCAACGAGTTTGGCTTTCTTTTTGCTTGTTCCTGATCCCGTAAACTCTTTCCCACTCACTCCAACTTTACAGATAAAGGGATTTCGCTGGCTTGGATCTTCCTCAAATTGGTAATCAAGTTGCCCTTTATGTAGCTCATTAAGCAGCATTACAGGGTTTTTAGACGAATCAATGGCTTCTTTGTCAATTGCAACATTTGTTGCTGTCTTTTCTTGATCTGGATAAGCAATGAATGGCGTCGAATCAGCATCTGTTCCGCATGTCGTGTCTTTAGTAAAATCTGCTGGCTCACTTTTTTGTGCTGAATTCATTTCAATCGGAAATGGAAGCTGAATGAACGAACGAAGAGCTTTCTCTGCAGCATCATGTTTAGCCTTTTGTTTACTGGGTCCCTTTCCTTCGAAAGTCTGCCCATCAACACTGACCGTCATGGCAAACGTAGTCGCATGAGGTGGACCTTCTTGCGATACAAGCACGAATTCTAAGCCAGGTTTAAACTCATTCAACTGCATTAAAGCATTCTTAGGTTGCTGCGTCGTAAACGCTTGCTTTCGTTTTTTACGTCTTCTTTGACCTTTTTCCAGAGCACTCATCAACGAGCCCAGCAAAGAATCATCATTTCCAGTTCCAGCTTCAACATCCTTCATCTCATCATCTTCTCCGTCAATCCTTCGCTTTAATCCTCTTCTTTCCTCGGCTATCATGGCTTCGATTGACAGACCACCTAACTTTCCTTCTTTAGTCCCAAAATCACCAGCATCGCCGTTACTTTTGGCCATTTCTTGGTCATTTCTTTGATTTAAATCCAAACTTACAGAAACACCATCAGCCGCCATCTTTTCTTTCTCCAAGGAATAGGACTCAGTCTTTCGCGTTTAGAATTGCGCAAAAAACATTGGTAGCTAGTATTACCAGTCTCTGGCGTTACCTCGAAGAACGCCTGCCGTCTTTGCCATTCTCTTTCTCACAAACAGCATTTCTATAATTGTGTCTGAGTTTTATCGACTTATTTTACTCGTAATATGTCGTTAGAAGATGTATTCGGTAGTGATATAGAAGACAGTGATAATGAGGAGTATAAAGAAGCATCGAAGCAAGCAGAGATCAACGATTTGTTTGGTGAATCGGAGAGCGAAGAGGAAGAAGAGAGGGTTGATGACAAGCAAGAAAGCGACGCAGAAGATAACGAGGAAAATGTGACGGAAAACAGAGAGGAGGTAGAGAGCGAAGAAGATAGAGAAAAGGTAAAGTTGCTACAGGACTATTTAGTTATGAATAACTTTAGTTACCTGCCAAGCACTACACGAATGGTATAAAAGCATAAAATATCGATTACTTCCAAAGTATGGACTTGGTAGTCGCATTGTAATTGTGGAATAATTAAATCCATCATTAGGATAATGAAGAAGATGATGATGAAGAAGAAAGAACACCTGCAAAAGATACTTTAACTCATGCTGACTTGTTTGGAGATGATGATGTTGAACTTTCCTCAGATGAAGAGAAGGTAATAATTTGAAAAAATATCAAAGTATGGATTTATTTAGACTGATTCCATGTCAGTCCCAGTTCAAACTCTGTCGATTTTTTTAGAGCAATCACCAGGAACAAAGGAGCAAAAACTATGACTGGTGGAATCAGTCTAGGGTATATTAACTAAGACAGACTGTAGGGGATGGCTTTTCTCATCCCTCCATAAAAATCAATATGTGAGTTGAGAGTTGTGTGATATAATATTAATGTAGGGGTAGTAAGTGTGGAGCATGTAACATGCTGTATACTCATAYATTAGCCTGTATAAGGAAACTTTATAACAACTCCCAGCATCATTTTGTTTGTATTTTAATTGGATACAGGAAAATCAAAGAGAAGAGTCAGTACCAGAGCAGAGAGAGCCAAGAATCGATGAAGGAGAGGAAGAGGAAGAAGAAGAAACAAGAATTGATGTAACAATACCTTATTGTCGTGTTCCACTTGGGTCTGAACTTTACTTCTCAAAACTGCCAAACTTCTTGAGTGTTGAGACAAAACCTTTTGATTCTGCCTTGTATGAAGACGACATTGAAGAGGATGAAATACTTGATGAAGAGGGAAGAGCTAGACTTAAACTCAAGGTAAATGTACATCTTTGATGTCCACATTATCCTAGTCTCATTAAATATCCCCTTCTTGATAAGGGGGACATCAGAAGTTTCAAAAATTCAATTGTAGACGTGCATATTATTACGTGTACTTTGTGTTCTAAATGAATGAGCAAACATATTATATAAAGTCTGTTTTGCTATCATAAGTTTAATCCTCTAACTCCATCATTTGCGAGGAGTTGTTTGTTACATGTAGCTCTTTCCACTTTGAAGTTTTTTCCAGAATAACAGATTTTCCAATCCACAATGTCCCACACTTTCAAATCACACTTCAATCTCAGAATTGTGGCCACAAATTTTGTTAAACATCAGGGCACAGTTGTACGAAGGGTTGATAGCACTATCTGAGGGATAAATCTTATCCAGTGGATAAATTTATTGGACAACAGCATTRACTTATTCATTGGATAAGGATTTGTCCACCGGATAGCACTATCCAACTTCGTACATCCAGGCCCAGATTGTTATCGTTACCCTAACAATAAATTGTAATAACATTATGGTTTTTATCACACATACATGCATGTACTCAGGCTGTTTGTTTCGTAATTTTTWAAAATTGAATTCCTGGGTGTCCTATTCTTGACAGGTAGAGAACACTGTCCGATGGCGTTATGGTAAAGACCAGGAAGGGAATGAGATCAAAGAAAGTAATGCCAGGATTGTACGATGGTCTGATGGGTCCATGTCATTACTTGTTGGTCAAGAAGTGTTTGATATCCAGAAAACTAAAATCGAAGGCAACTTTAATCACCTTTTTGTTCAGCAGGCAATATAATGATAACTCTTCTTGATTTTAACTTTAGTTAGATTACTGACATTTTAACTTTTGGTTAGATTACTGACATTTTAACTTTAGTTAGATTACTGACATTTTCATAAGCATGCAAACTCACAAGTTGCAAACTGCATGCTGAAATTTGTTTTTTCACTGCCGTCAATCAAAACTAATCAGTCGGTACCTTTCATATTTTTGACTGGCAGTAGTGAAAAAACAAATTTCAGTGCGCAGCTCGYGGCAAGTGAGTTTACCTGTTTATGAAAATAACAATAAATTCTTTAGATGTGAAATAACCCAAGATTGTGCGTGGAAAAACTGGGTGGACATATAAATCCATTTGAATTTTTACAAAATTTATTTGCCATTTCAAGATTGAGGAAAAAATTGAGTCAAAAAAAAAAAAAAAAAACAACAACAAAACATTGGCATTGCTTTTTTGGATGGTTTAAGGGAGGAAACTGGTGCCATCTTGGAAATGTTCCCTAAAATAGCCCCACAATAACACTAAACCCCAGAATGGCTAATTATTATTATAATACTGTTATGTTCATCTCTCAGGGAACAGGTTTGCAAGGGCAGGCAGTATTCAAGGAGAAAATAACATTTAGACCTCATTCTACAGCAAGTCAGACACACAGAAAAATGACACTGTCAATAGCCGACCGTGTGTCTAAGTCACAGAAGATTCGCATTCTTCCTGCAGCTGGAATAGATCCTGAATCAAAGAGACATGAACTTATAAAGGTGAGACTATAAGAATGTAAACACAATGTGGTAGCTTGGGTGCTAGGTTYATGGCAGGAGTCCCAGGTTGGAGTCCCCTCTCCCAAGCTAGTATGTGAGTTGAATTTGTTTGATGTGTTCTTCTCTTCTATGCTAGGGATTTTTTCCCTCCAGTTTCTCGCTCCATAAAAATCAACATGCTAATTRAGCGTTGTGTGCTTAAAACATTGAATTTAGTGGTAGTGTGTGTGAGTGGAAACTTGTCTCAATTAGTGCAAAATTGTGCTAGAACGACTAGACACTTAGAGATTGAACTTGGTCTGTATAGTAATGTTAGAGAATTAAATGTAAATTGATAATAACAGCATTTGATTGACAGTCTTTTTTTATCAATTACCCATCCCCTCTCCCCCAATGTGTACTGAAAAAATTACCAGGCCCCCCTTCGCTAACCATTCCAAAAATAAAATTTAAATCTTTCAGAAAATTTAGGCACCCCCTTAACATCTTCATGCCCACATATTAAATGATCCTTCCCTTTGTGCAATTTTTCTGAGCAGTTTTTTAAACCATGATTTATTCTTTTTTTAGAAAGAGGATGAGAAACTAAGAGCTCAGTTACGTCTTGACAACCAACGACGAAGAATGAGAGAGCGCAGCCAGGCAAAGAGCCTTAGTACTACCTACCTCGAGGGGGAAGACGATGAAGAAGAGTTAGAACAGAGTCTGTTGAAAATCAAGAAAAAGTTCAAACAAGATCTTGCCAAAGGTACCTTGTTAACAGTAAAGTTACTAATTTTTGCAACCAACTTCATAGCAWAAAAGGTTTTTGAAAGATGATGGTTTGTCTGATGGTTTGTGCCAGCTGCAACATTTTAGGCATGAATGTGGATGAACTCATTGTTCTAAAAATTGCACAATAACATTCTTTCTTCTGTCATTTGTTATCTACAATGGCCTGTATATAATATTTTGAGTTGAAAGGCCATTCTTTACATGTATRTAAAAGCCTCTAGTTTCAAACTTTAAACAACTATTAAGAAAGTTTATACTAAAAAGTTGATCGCAAAAAGTAGTAARAGTATCTTCTGTTGAAAATGATTTATTGGTCCACAATAAAAAGGCAGTTCTAATTTTTATGGAAATTTTTTCATGGCAGTCCAATTTTTGTTGAGCATTCTGCTCATTTAGGTTGGAGAGGATCAATGTGGGATCATAATTTTGACTTTCTTTTAGCAGTTTTAATAATCATCCCTGTGAAATAAAAATGGTGTTTCCATGCCCGTTGCTAAGTGTGGTTCAATGGTTCAAATGAACCTCCCCTCCCCCTGTACAAAWTTTTTTTGGAAATTATGAGGGGTGGGGGAGTCGGAGAAAGAACAAAATTACAGAGTTTGTATGGAAGAAATTTCCAAGGGGTAGGGAGGTTCTGAAAAAAATCCTCCGTGGGGGAGGTGGGTATGGATAATTTCTTGAATTACACATTGGCTGCTGGACAAAYAAATTTATAAATACTCTCAAGTGCCTTCAGTCAGTTGAATATTCAATGACATGATGCTCAAGGGTTAGATAATTACTGCTGATTGCAATTTTCTTTGTTGCAGGTGCTTATTCATCGGAAGAGGAGGAGGAGGCGGAAGAAGAGGAAGAGGAAGACACTACCAATTTGAGAGGATTAGAGAGTGAAGATGAAGATGAAGGAGAAGAAAGGCTTATGAATGCTAAAAAGGGGATTGACTCAGAAGAAAATATTGCAACAACACAGAGAAAACGTACTAGTAGTGAAGGAAGTATAAGGAAAGAGAAAAAGAAGATCAAAAAGATTATTGAAAGTAGTGATGAAGAGAGTGATCATTGAACAGGCCATGCTTCAAGTTGAAACAGCTTGGTGATCAAGATACTTATAGGGAAGTAATATAGCAGATATCACAGTTACACTCTATTGCCTTCAGTTTTTAGCCTGCGTAGGGGCGCTCCCCCTCCCTTTTCTTGTGCCCCGTCCCCAAAGCGTCACTACGCAGGCTATTAATTGTTTTGAGTATAGGCATTTGGGTCAAAGCAATAAACGCATAGAAATTAACTGACCTAAATGCAACTATTGTTCGAAGTCAATTCTAATATCTGCTCTAAAAGTATCTATCGACCCTGCATGTGCATTGTAATATTTTCTATTCTTTATAGTTATTTATGTTCATGTAATATCAACTAAGAAAAGATTCTGAAATAATAATTATTATGGAAAAGAAAACATCCTTACTCACCTCCAAGAAAAATATTTCACTTATGTTCCATGTTTCTGAGATTCCCAGACAGAACCATTATCCATCTTGAGGGGATTCATCACAAATATAGGTGTAAATTGTGTTCACATCTTGCTTTGCTTATAGTGCACTTATGTACATTTAAATGATGGATGTAAATAATAGGCTATTTGATATAGTTACCAGAATAATAAAATCGTTTTATGTTTATGACCGTTGATGTTGAATTTAGCCTGGGAGCAAACTGTTATCTAGGGARTGTTTGTCATTGATGGAAGGGGGATAATGGATGAGAAATGAATAAACTTTTCTTTCGGTTTTCCGAAGTTGCATTAAGGACATTCGTGGGCAAATGAAGTTGATGAAATTTTTTTAACTTTGCATAAGCATACCTCAACATATTCTTGCTGGAAAAAACATTAAATAAAAAGTGGGTGTCAACCAATTTGTTATTTTGCTAAACACTGTGCAAATATGGTATTCAGGAAAAGACGTGATAATAGTAATTTTTTTAGATCCAGAAGTAGTAGATTTGATTTGTTTTGATTTTGGTAGCATCTTTAAGACCAAGAAAAATGAGGTCACTGACTTTATCCTAGAGCTATAAGTCAGAGTTTAAATAAGTGAAAAAGTTGTTTTCTCAATATTTGGCTTATCAAAACATTTGAATGACATCAACCTGCATACAGAAGGGCTGTGCAAACAATGCATATGAATGTCTTTAA